GTCCCCAGAGGGACTCCACAGAGGTCCCAGATGCTGCAGCCATAGTGGGAGCGCTGGGTTAGATGCAGGCTGTCTGGCCTTAAACCTGGAGCCTGGTCCGTGGTGGTGCTGGACCCAGACATGGAGGAGGGAACAAAACGGGGGCTGCGGGGCCCAGGAGGGGCATGAGGTCCTGGCTCAAGCTGTGGAAGCCCAGACCCAGACCTCTGCCGAGAGGCCTGTGGGACAACTCGCTCGCACAAAGACCTGGGTCATGGCACAGGTATCCCGGCAGGGCCGAGCAGCGAGCAGGACCGCCAGGGCGGGCCAGACCCTGGAACGAGTGCCCCAGGGAGTAGAGAGCTGGGAGGTGATGGCACAGGCACCAGCTCAGAACGGTGTCTCCTTCAAAGGCAGCGAGACCTGACACCCGGGCGGCCCTGGGCCTGTCTTCTGTCCCTGACCCCTGCACCAGGCAGCACCCCACGTCCTGTCCACCTGCTTCCCAAGTCCAACCCCTACCATCTGCACAGCCATCCCTGGGCTCCCTGCTGCCCATATGGCAGTCAGGGTGCCTCCCCTGCACAGGACCCTCGGCGGCTCCCCACTGCTCCTAAGTCTGCACCCTGCTTGTGGAGGATGCGGGTGGATTGGGGGCCTGTGTTGATCATGCGGGATAAGGACTGTGAACTGCCCCGAGCTGGCTGTGACTCTCTGCAAGTACAGAGCAGTGCCGATCCTAGGGGACCCAGCAGACCCCTGCCTCAGCCACTCCTGACCACTGGGGTCCCCGTATTATTCACTTCTGGACCCCAGCTCCATTCCTACCACCAGGAGGCATTCAGCAGACACTTAATGCACCAGATGTCCTAGACAGAGGAACCCCAGAAAGCACCCCCACTTTTGTTGATGCCTGAAATTCCCCCACTGAGGAGCTGTTATCCCTGGTGAAAGACAAAAATCCCAGGGAGGCATTGCAATGCAGGAGTATAATAGAGCCAGAGAGGCCATGCCAGCCTCCACATGCCATGCACATGGCCCCCCAGCCCCTCTCCTTCAGAAAGGAAGCCCCTTGCTGCATTCCTGCCCTCCTGCCTACACTGGCATGTCTCCCTTGCCCACCACTCCCCACTTTCCCAGGGGCTGCTCCATCTTTAGGGTCTTACCTGTCAGAAGGTTCTTCCTTCTGCTGAGCTTGCAGCTTCTTCCTCCCTTACTCCCCACCCCACCTCCCGGGCTACAGAGGACCCTTGGCTGCCTCCAGGCAGGCCCTGAGGAGCCCTGGGCCATCTGCTGAACTGCTCACAGCCTAGTCCTGCAACTGCACCTTAGTCCCCTGGCCACACCCCTGCCCAGCCCAGTCCTCCTCTCCAGCGGAGCCGCAGTCCTCTCTCCCCTCAGCGTGTGGCATCCACAGCAGCGCTGAGACCAAATGTCGCTCTTAGGTGCACAGCTAAGCAGTGCTGTGCTGATGTGGCAGCAGTCATTCACACCCTAGTCTGAGTGTTTCCAGCCCTCTCCCAACAGCAGATTTGAGTCAGAATCATTGGGAGAGATCTCAGTGCCCTTCTATTCCAAATACAACCTATTCCCCGACTGTACAAATGGGAAACTGAATCCAGATGGAGAAAGAAGTTTAGGAGAGGGAATACTCTGTCTCCAGATTAGAGAGAAGGAGAAATGGTTCCAGAAGAGGAGGGTCAGGGGTTGGGGGAAAGAGGCTGAAAACAGACTTTTGTCCTTTCTCTATCTAGGATTGTTGATGCCAGAGGCCACAGGGGCTTCTGGTAAGCCTCACTGCTCTAATTCATCAGGATAATCACCCATTTTACAAATGAGGAAAGTAAGCTCAGAGCCACTGAGTGGCTTGGCCAAAAGATGCATTGCAACTGCCTGGATCCTCCTGACCCCAAGCCTCCATGTGCCTCCCTTCCTAATGAGGCTCTGCAGGCAGCCCAGGAGAAGAGAAAAACACGTGCATGTGTGGTCCCCAGGCCGCCACCCTAACGGAACACCACGCATTCAGCCTCCCTCCTGACTCCCATTCCCTTGCTCCCCTGCACTCCCCCGCTTCCCTCCTGCAGAGATGACATAAGCTGCTGTGTCTGAGTACACGTTACGCCTTTAATCCTCATAGCCACCCAGAGGTGGCATTATTACTTCCAGTTTACAGATGACAAGCTGGGGCTGAGAGAATGGACTTGCCTGAGGTCACAGCTTGAGTTCCTGGTAGGGCTGGAATGACACCCAGTTCCGATGTCATTCCATCCCTGGCCTCTGACTCTCTGCTGCTGCCTGGGCCAGAGGGGCAGCACAAAAGCAGCTCAAGCTTACTCCTTTCGTTGTGTACCCAGAGCAGACATCACTAGTCGATTGCAGTGCTCTGTCCTGTTACCCAAGATGCAGCCTCAGAATCCTTGCACAGGGCTCCTGGCAGGTAGTGAAGGGCTGACCCTAGAAACATTGCCTACCTGCATCTCCCAAAGGACCTGCTGGTCCCAGTGATCCACCTGCAGGCAGCCTGCTCTGCCTCGTATTGCAGAGGCAGTCACCTCCCCGCAGGGTCAGGGGCTGGGGCTGACTCATGGTCCTGCAAAGATGCCCAACCCTATGCAATGCTCTCTTTCCCCAGAGACCTACGCCCCTCCCAGTGGCTCCCTGGAGCCCACACCTTCTCCCCTTGATGATGACCACTTTTGTACCCCACTGAGCCAATGACACTCCCACTGCCCTAAACCTGACGCAGCCCTTCTGAGGCCCCTCTCATAGGCTGCCCCTCCAGCTCCTGCCTCCCCCAGGGAGTCCGCTAGTCAGGACTCCTCAGCACCTTCAGCGGGCCAGTGGACCCGGTCCTCTTCACCAGCATTTACACCTGCTCATGTCTCCCGACCTAAGGAATAAGAGCTCTGTCCCTCCCACATCACCCTCCAGCTACCGCCCATCTCTTCTTCTCAAGCAAGTTCCCTTTAAAAAGGTCGCACATGCTGCTTGTGCCTCCCTGCCTCCGCGGTCCTCTCCTCAGGTCGGGGGGTCACCAGCAGCCTCCTGGTGCCCAGATGGTCCTGCTAGTCCCCAACCATGTGAGACTCTCTCCCTTCAGCCAGGACAGAGTCGAGCCTCCTGTCCATCGCCTTCAAGTCTGTGCGTCCAGGCCCTGGGGCCGCCTCCAGTCCCATCCCGTGTCCCCCACCCTGTTCTCCAGTCACACCAGCCCACTTCCTCCTCTTCAGCTCTGGACTCCATGCCGCCTCAGTCCTCTGCACCTGCAATCAAAAAGCACTGCAGCAATACCAGAGCTATCACTTATTTAGGACGACTCTGCGCAGGCACTGTGCTAAAATGCATTAGCCAATCCCATCCCTTCAGCAACCTTATTTATTCAGTGATTCTAAAAGTACCTATTAAACACCTACTGTGTGCCACATCATTTTGTAAGCACCAGTAATGGCCATGAACTGAGGCTCAGAGAGCCTGAGTCACCTGCCTGGTCTCACACAGCCATGACGTGGGCTCCACATCCTGCACCCACACATCCCCCCATGCCATGACCGCCCTGTGGGCCACCGGCTCCAAATCGGCCCCAGACCCCTGCCCCTCCCCCCACGCGTCCCTCGGGCCCAGCACCCCCAGCGCTTTGTTCCTCCCCGGGAGCTCCTTCCCACCATACCCACGACCAGGCAGCCCGCCCGGGCTGCTGAGTCCCCAGGAGCCACTGGCGAGCTGTCAGCTCCTTCCGTCACCGGGAGGCAGCCAGAGGCGGCGCCAGCAGCTTCTTTGGTGCAAGCACGCCCCTGGCTGCTCGCCGCAACACGTTCTCAGACACCAGGCCAGCAGGCCAGCAGGCCGGGCACCCAGCCCCAGGCCCATGGCTGTGGACGTGGGGAAGGGTCAGTACTGGGGGATCCAGTCCTCCCCATTACAAATTAGGACACTGAGGAGGGACATCAGCCAGGGCGCTTTTGAAATTGTCTAAATTAGTTAAATCAACCCATCAGTGCGACAATCAGATACCAGCGGAAGGCAGCTCCCTCTGCTGGAATGCCCTCCATCCAGTCAGCCCCCACCGGCCCCTCAGAGCTCCGCGAGGACGGGCATTTCCTCAAAAGAGGGACATGCCCTTCACCCAGGGCGCAGCTCCCTCTCAGGGCCCAGGCGCCCCCCAGACGCCTACGCAGTGGCCAGCCCGGGACACTCGATGGCTGAGGAAGCGCAGGTGGGGAGGTGGGGCGCTGACGGGGCTGCTGTCGGTCCGCTTTAGCAGTTCTGCTCTCCACGCACGGACATGTGGCCGGCCCCTCAGGACAGCTGTGCCTGGCTCCTGGGGGCGCGACCTCTGTCCCCATCCCGACTCCGGGCCCCCAGAGGCAGCTGAGGGCTGGTTGGGGGGCCCCCGACCCCACACAGAAGCCAGGGGCGGCAGTTCACTCTGCCCCGTGCCTTTGGCAGTGAGCTGAAGACAAGAGGGCCCATCCTGGCCCCAGGATCCCCTCTGCAGAGGCCCCCCTGCTTCTCTGGGCCTGCCGGGCCGGGCCGGTGGCAGGTGAGAGGTGGAGGCAGGAGGGAGCCCAGCCCTTCCCGGTCTCCTGCCGCCTCTCCGAGGGAGAAGGCCGGGACGGGAGGCAGGTCCCTGCAGACAGGCGAGGCGGCCACCCGCCCTGTCTGGGGCGCTGCCTGCAGCTTCGGGCGCCCTGGAGAGAGGCCGGGGGTGCTGGGACCGGAAGACCCGGGAGGGCGTCTGCAACAGGAACCTCGCCCGAGGAGCGTGAGGTTGTTTTCTGAGAGCGCAGTGAGCTGAAGGCAGGTGCGTGAGAAACACGCACGTGAAGGGAAGGAGCTCCGCGGCTCTGCAGTCCTGGCGCCGGCAGCACCCACTGCCCACCACGGCGGCTCCTGATCCGGCGTCAGATTCGCAGGAGAAAATCCCACGGGGTTGCTGGGTCAGGTGTCCAGCCTGGGCCAATCAGCCACGGTAGAGGCGGGGTCATGGGGGCCCCGCCCCGTCCAGAGAGGGGCGAGGCTGAGGTTGGGGCCGCCACGGACAGGGGGCCGGTCACTTTACAGGTGGAGGGTTTACAGGCTCCAGGACAAAATGTCCCTCGGCGGAGGGCCCCAGAGCCCTGGGACCACCCCAAAGGCCCTGCGGTGGGAGGGAGCCAGGTGCGCTGCGGGTGCAGAGGAGGGAGGGCAGGTGGGGCACAGCCTGGTGGAGAGAACCTTGAGCCCAGGCGGGCGGACTTCCAGGCACCCGGCAGGACAGGCGGGATGGGACCCCCGTTTTGAGCAATGACGCTGGTCCTGAGAGGTGAGCCAAGAGGCGGGAAGGAGTGGATGCGGGCGGGGATGGGGGGCAAGCGCTGTGACGCCCTGGGGGCAGGTAGAGGGAGAGGAGGCTGCTGGGAGGGCTCAGGCCGCAGGGCGCTACTCTCGGGGTGAGGAGGGGGTTGGGGAGGGAAGCCAGCTCAGGGGCGAAGGAAGAGTTCAGGTGGGAACAGCCTGAGTATGAGGTTCTGTGATGACTCGGGAGAGAAGGTAGGAGGGTGGTGGCCACAGGGCAGAGAGGTGAGGGCAGTCGCTGGGGACTTGGGAGTGACTGGCGTGGGCAGATGTGGACAAGGAGGTCTGGAGAGTGGTCAAGATCCCTTGGGAGAGGCTGAAAAGAGAAGGGAGATCGGGGCTGAGCCCTGAGGGACCCAGCATTCAAGGGAGAAGTGCAGGGGAGGGCGCAGGGGGAGGGATGGGACCCCTGAGCGGTGGTCAGGAGGGCCGCGGCCAGAGGACTTGGACTTCACAGCCGTAAGGTCATAGGAGACCCTCAAGACAGGGTCCTCAGAAGGGCAGGGGTGCTGCAAGTGAGAAGGGAGTCCCTTCTCCCCCAATGGTCCCCCTGCTCCTGATTCTTCATTCTTGGGGGCAATTCTCCACTGTGCTGAGAACAATGACCCCAGTCCACGGACGGGGACAGAGATGTCTCTGGCTGGTAGGAGTCAGTGTCTGAAATGTGCTGGGAAATAGCTGCATTCTTTTCCCAGGGCGTCCTAGCAACACCAGCTTCTCCCTGTTTTACAAATGGGAAAACCTGTGGCAGCAGCCATCTGAGGGCGTACGCACATGGAGGCAGAGCTGGGACCAGGCCTAGGGCCCCAGTGTGCAGCCCAGTCCTCTCCCCTGCTGACCCCATCCATGCTCCAAGAGGTGCTGTGAGTGGAGGTCATGGCCAAGGGGAGGAGGGGAGCTCTGGTTAGGCTTCCCATCAGCAGGCCACAGTCCCTCTGTTCTGGAGCCCGATCTGGTCCCCTGCTTGCCCATGACGCCCTCTCCAGACCCTAATGGTGGGGTGGGGGAGAGCCCCACCCTCCAGTGCTCTGGCTGGGGAGGCCTCAGGTGAGAGCCACTGGGGCATCCTGGGTGGACGCCACCCTGGTCAGTTGCCAGTGTGTGGACCCCAGGAACACCCATCTCATACACTAGCAGTTTCAGGAAGGAGGTATGAGGGCAGATGGGCTCTCAGCCCAGGGGCAATTCCAGGGGCAGGATGGACCCAGCATTGACTTTGGAGCTTGATGGGGCCAGGTTCAAATCCCAGCTCTGCCACTTGCTACCTGAATGACCTTGGGCAAGTCTGGACCCCATGCCAGAGCCCTAGTCTCCTCATCTATAGAATGGGTTTCTATGCCATCCCTCAGGGCTACAGCAAGGATTACAGTTACCCCTTGAACAGTTGCCTGGCACAGAGACAGAGGAGCCAGTTGATGTTGGGTGTTGACCAACAGGGACCAGCAAGGGAGATAAAGACGAACAGACCCAGCACAGTGTGCCATCGCGTACCTGACAGGGGAGAGCCGATGGGAACTCGCACGATGCAACAGTAAGCCCGGCAATCCTGGGGGGCCCGGGCCCCATTTTTTCCTATAATACAGACCAGCACTGTGCTCCCCACTCCTTGGCTGTGGCCCTGCTCAGTGTGCCTGCCCAACGTGCATCCTTCGAGGCCTGTCTCTGCACCCCCTGGGCTGACATGTTTTAAAATGAGCCAGTCACATGATCCCAGCTGAGCTCTCTTTGACACCCACCATTGGTACCACAAGGAAGGCGCCTCTAAGCTTGTGTTGAAAACAACCAGCCACTGATGGGCCCAGGAGGCCTGAGAAGCCGTGTGCATCCCCCACCCACTCTCGCCTGACCTTGAGGGAGGGTGGGCGGGGCTGGGCAGCCCCACGAAGGAAGCTGGGTGTTTACATTGCAAACAGAGGCTTTTAGGGGACTGCCCTGCCCATTCGGCATCAGGGAGGTGCAGATGCCCAGGTGCCCCGCTACGTGCCCACTGGGTGGCCAGGGGTTCCCACTGTCCAGAGCTGGATTAGCTCCATTTGTCTCCCCAAGTGTCGTGTGTGTTGGGGTGGGCAGAGGGATGCACTTTACCCCCACATTGCTAGGGGAGCAGCCCATGTGTGCTGTCTCTCGGTGCGGAGGCCTCCTCAGGGCTGAGCAGGCTGGCCTGGTGAGCAGGTCAGCAGAGATGCAGGCCCCCGGCTCCCTGCTCCCCGCCCTGCTCAGCCTGCCGCAGCGTCAACCCTCTAGTACAGTCAGCACTCTGCCCCCCAGTTCCAGGCCCTCATTCATTCACGAGGCAGCCCTCTGGCCATGTCCTGTGCCCCAGCTGCCAGGTGAGCAGCTTGGCAAGGGGAGGTGAAGGCATCAGGCTCCTGCCCAGGGAGAGAAACAAACTGAGGAGAGGCCAGGAGCCACCAGCAGGGGACCCAGCCCCCAGCCCTGCCCCTCAGCAGCGGGGCAGCGCATGCACGTCACTGCATTCTCTGGGCCTCACACCCTCCACCTCACAGGGCCATCACACCCTCCACCTCACAGGGCCACTGCAAGAGCTAAACAAGGCAGAGCAGATGGGGTGTTTAGGAAGCACCTGGCATGGCGTGCCCATTCAGTTGTCACTGTCAGTACCCTCGCTGCCATCATCCGCGCTGGGGACTGTGGGTCCAAGGAGGGGATGATGGTGCTTTATAGTCGTTACTTCTATCTTCCTAGGCCCCCTGCTAGATGGCCATTGTCACACTCACACACCCAGAGAGGAGTAGAGGAGACGGAGGTCACAAAGCCAGGAGGCTCTGTGTGCAGAGCCTGGATGTGACCCACTCAGCAGGTGAAAGTAGCTGCGCAGGGGAGGGGAGACGTGTGCACGGAGCTTTGTAGAGAGGCAGCTCCCCAGGGGCTCCCCAAGGGCTGATCGCAGTGTCCGTGGGTCCCAGGCGGCCAGCAGCCCTGGGGCCACATCTCAGGAGGGTCCCAGACAGCCATCCCTCCCCCTGGTCCTCCTGCCCTGGCCCGGCTGTTTCCTCATCTTCAGGGAGGCCCCTGAGCTTCCCAAGGCTGCGGATCCAGTGGAGCCCCCGACCCTCCAGCGCCTGCCTTCCAGACTGGTGAAGAACAGACGGGGTGGGGAGCCCTCTGCCAGGGGTCTCCTGCCCAGAATTCCCCTCAGGCCCATCTCATGTCCCCTTGAATGTCTTGAACCCAAGACCCGGCAGGAGGCGAGGAGAAGGCCCGTGTAGGAGCAGCCCAGGCCCCTGCCGGCTGAGCCGAGCCGAGGGACCCAGCCCTGTGAGAGCCACAGCCCCTAGGGGAGGCCCAGGGTCCCGGCAGAACTGCCCCAAGCCTCCGTTTCCCCACCTGTAGAGTGGAGCTGATGACATACATGTCCCAGGACCGTAGAGAGAAATCCCCGAGCTCAGGACTGAACGGGCAGATACACAGTGGGTGCGCACAGAAATGGGCTGTGCTTGGCCCGGTTCCCCTGAGCCCTCCTTGCCAATACCTTGCAGAGCACTATAGGCATGGGGCAGTATGTGTAGGGTCACAAAGGAGGGAGGGCATGGGGCGCTGAGGCCCAGCCAGGTGGGAAGAGCCCTGGTGAGGGGTCAAGCAGACATGGATTCAAGGGCTGACTCCATCATTTAAGAGCTAGGTGACCTTGATCATGTCATTTAACCTTTCCAAACCTCCTTGAAATGTGTAAGAAGATGTCTAGGAGGTATCTGCACACAGTAGGAGCTTAACTAATGTCATTCTCATTAACACTTCCTTGAGGAAGAGGGGTTCCTTGAACTTGTGAGCAACTGGGGAAAGATGCTTGTTCACAGGCTGATGCATTCTCTCTCTCTCTCACACACACACATGTGCACACATTTACCCCAACTGTTGGGGAAGACAGAGGGTCATTGTTAAGAGGCTCAGTCTCCCTTTCTGTGCATTGGGCAGGACCCCCATGGCTGACCGCCAGACATGGTTACCAGGTTAAATGCAGGAATAAAACCCTAACTGTCCATGACAATACCTGGGGCTTTTCATGCCCAACCCTGGCAGGGTGCTGGTCAACCCATGACAGTGGGCTCTCTAGGAGGAAAGCCCCGATCTGTGGCATTTGCCCATTTCCATGGTGTAAACACTCCCACCATGGTCCATGCCAAGCTGCCAACCTGCGCACCGTGCTGGGAGTAGCTGCGTCCAGACGGCTCTCCAGAGAACCAGCTCCGCGACATGGCGGCTCCTGGCGGCCTCCCTTCTTCCCCTCTCCCAGTCCTCTCCTGCCCTGTAGGCCAGGTTTCCAGTCCCTGCACACAGAGGAACACCAGCCGTGCTCCTGACTCAGGGCCTTTGCACTCACTGTGTTCTCTGCCTGGAATGCTCCTCCTCTGGTTGTAGCTTGGCTGTGTGTTGCTTTCCAGGTGTCAGCTCCAACGCCACCTCCTCCAAGAAGCCTGCCTTGACCAGCTTGAAACTATTGCTGCCCCCACTCACTAACCCTTCCCTGCCATTTTTTGTGATTTCATGCTGTTTTCTTTCCATCATGGCACTTAATTCTACTTGTAAGTGTGACATATGTTCACCTGTCGTGTGTATTTATCTGTCTCACCTACCCCAGAGTTTGCTCCATTGGAACTGGGCCTTATCTGCTTCGTCCCTGCTGTGTCCCTTGTTGTTTATAGTATAGTGCCTGGCACATAGTAGGTGCTCAGGTAATATTGACTGACTGACTGAATGAATGAACGGACAGATGGACAAACCAACGAACAATAGATGTCAGCACCCGCCTAACCTGACACTCCAGGCTCTGCCTGGCCACTGTGCTGCCCCTACCCACTGACTCCCTGCGTGGTGGCTCTAACTGGCAGAGGCCGCCTTGACAGTGCCCGGTTGTGGGACCTGTAATTGCAGGATCCCGCCTCTTCCCCCACCCTCTCCTCGGGAGAAAGGCCCCGGCCCTTTTGTGCAGCCCCTGTTCACACAGGGTTGGGCCTCCTGAGATGGGGCCCAGGAAGGCAGGGGTGGGGGATGGCCAGGCCCAGGTTAGGAAAAGCCAGGGGACTTTGGTCTGGGCCAAAGGGCCAAAGAGAGTGATGCCATTCCTGAGAGAGAGGGTTTCCCCCTGAGAGACAAGGGTGTGTGCCATTAGAGAGGGAGTAATTGGGGGTGGGAGGTAGGGTGATTAATCCACGTGGAAGGATCCAAGGGAAGCTGGGATAGGAGGCCAGGCCCCTGAGGAGGACTTTGGAGACACAGGGGGTAGAAAGATGGACCTGGGCTTGAAATCTGCCCATGTGTGGCCATGGACCATGGTCCCAGCCATGGACCAGGATCCTTGTAGGGAAGCCGGACAAATAATAGCAGTGCCTCCCCAGGGGATTGTTGTGAGCCTAAGTAGATGACAGAGGTTTATGTCAGGTGCCAAGCACACAGTAAGTGCTCAGAAAATACTCACTTCTTCCCACCCTCTCCTAGATTTTCCTCATTCCTGACCCTCCCCTCTCCCAGACTCGGCTGCCCACTCCAGTGCTGACCCAGGAGCCCAGGGCTAGGTAGGCCCCCTCCTCCAGTGTCCCATGGCTGGCCTGGGGCCCCAGCGCACCGGCTGTGAGCTCATGAGCTCAGGACCGGGTGGGCCTAGGAGAACTCCATCCTCGTGGGCAAACCCAAGGCTGGTCCACCCCGCCTCTGCACTGAGCCTCTGCCTCGGGCCCCTGGTTATTGGTCCAGCCCTGAGCACCACACCTCCAGCCCTCTACCTGAGGCTCCCCGAGGAGGGGAGCCCCTCTCTCTGCCATCAGGTCCCTCTCTAGGAAGAGGGCCAGTGCCTGGGTCAGTACTGCTATGGGACAGAGGGGACAGTTTGTGCAGTTCCCCGTGAGCCCTGAGCTCTGGGGGCAACAGGGGTCTTGGAGGGCAGAGTATGGGACATGAGGGACACCAGGATGCCTGGCCCAGCCTTCTGTCCCCTTGTTTATGAGTAACAAACACTTTCATTGGCATTTTATCAGCACTATAGAATTTTCAAGAGCAAGATTTTGTGGACTGATGTACCTTAACGCTATTTCAGTTTCTCAGCTAGTGTTATCAAGCATGATTAACCTATCTCTAGTTCATTCTTTTTATTTTATTTTCTTTGACTGAACTTATCTTCATGGGCATCAATATTTTCCCATGCCATTTCACTGCAGATCTCCTCTTCCAGATGGTGTTCCATCCCTGTCACACGTTGCCCAGCAGAGCTCTGGTACTGTGGGTTTCTTTTGTTGACAATTTCTTTCTGCCAAGGCCAATGTTTCAAAGATCGGTGTTGCAAGTCCTGAATTTAGGAAAGATCTGATTCTCCCATCAATCCTTAAATCAGTAAGATTTCCTGTATTTGAATTGGGGTGGATTATTTTCCCAGTGAGATTTCTCCTGCACTGAGAGAAGGACCTGGGGTTTGCGGTGACTCCCTACAGCAGAGAGCTTTAGAGATCTGGGGACAGGGTAGGGTCGGGATGGGATTCAGAGTCCCCTGAAGGTGACCCACGTCCTTTACAGCAGAATCAATGTCCATGGAAAATGACAACTACCCAGTTCAGGCAGGACTATTAACAGCGCAAACTCTTTAGGAATGAAGGTTTGAGTCACCCCACCAGGCTACGGCCCGCAGGAGCGGAGGTGCTGGCCCTCTGGCCACACCTCTGCAGCAGGGCCCTGGACAGTGCTGTGCACGCTCCTCGGAAGGCCCAGTGATTCCCTCGAGTGTGGGCAGGACTTGGGATTCAATTCCAACCCCTGGACTATAGCAGAGGGGATAGGTGTTCCTTCTATGAGGTGACACAAGATTCTAACCTCTGTCTTGCTGGCAGCCTCCCTCCTGTGCTGGCTGTGACGACACATGCTGACATGTTGTGACCTGCCATGGGGGACAGCCCCTCATGGCAATGAGCCAAAGAAGGAACAGCAGAAAGCCCGCAAGGAACTCAATGTCACCAACAGCCATGCGCACTTGGAAGGAAATCGTTCCCGGCTGAGTCTCCAGATGAGACCAGAGAGGCTGGACCAGCACCTTGCTTGCAGCCTTGTGACAGCCCCTGCGGCCTGGAGGACCCAGCCGAGCGTTACCTGGACTTCAGACCCACAGAAACCGTGAGGTAATAAATGTGTGTTGTTTTGAGCCGCTAAGTATTGTGGCAATTCGTTATGCAGCGACCAACAGCTAATACACCAGGCAAACATAACCATCATAAGCAGGAGCCGAAAGATATACTTACATCACTGAATACCTGCTTTATGCCATGTACCATCTTAGGTGCTTCACATGCATTATCTTATTTATACCTCACACTCACCATAACCATCTTATTTAGAGATGAAAAAACAGGCACAGAAAGTTCAGCACAACTGGGACACATCAGAGCAAGGTCCAAATCCCAGAGCCTGGCCATGTGCTAAGAACTGGCTGGAGAAATTCCTTCTATGATGAGGTGACACAAGATTCTAACCTCTACCTTGCTGGCAGCCTCCCTCCCGTGCTGGCTGTGACAACACACTCTGACATGTTTGGAGCCCCAAACCCAATACTGAGGAGCCCAGGGTTCACCCCCCAGTCCCCTTTTCCCTCCCTGATCCATCCCTCACCCACACCCTGTTCCTCCTTGGGTGCTGACATCCTTTATCTTGTCACAAAATGCTCACATGAACATAAATGCACGTACAGTGTCGGTCTGCAGATGTATTTCCCAGAAACACAATATCAATTTTACCTACACTTTTAATAAGCATTTAACCCCTTCAATTGTCTGGTGGTCCATTTGCAGGGGAGACCGAACTACCTGATCATTTCTCACTTCACCTTCCGTACGGGAAATAGATTCAATTAGAAAAATCTATTGCTAATTTGAAAGCTCTGATTCTATAATTTCCTACAGGGAAGACATGTAAATTGTGTGTTATTTAACACCCTTTCATGGCAGGTGAGTTCCTCCGGGGGCAATTATCATCCGCTCTCCACTCTTCTTACAGCTTCCTGACAAGGGGCGAAGGGGGAGGAGGCGGGAGAGCAAGGAAGCATTTTGAAGACTGGTCTCTAAATGGCTTCGGGAACCCCGGCATCAGAAGGGCCTGGGCGTGGATGGCTGCTTGGTGCCCACCTGCTCACCCGTCACTGGGCCACTGACTGTCACACAGGTCGGAACCCCAAGTCCTCTGTTCTTTTCATAATCATCTGGAAGCTGGAAAAGCTGGGTGGGGAGAGGCAGTTAGGAAACCCAGCTTTGCATTCCAGCGTCACCGTCCCAGCTGCGTGGCATGGAGCTGTCCCTTGACCCATCCGGCCCAGGTCTCCCGCCGTACCATGGGGCAGCCATAATCTCTAACCTGAGCTGTTGGGAGCCCCAAACCCAATACTGAGGGTAATATTTTAGGAGGCTTTGCAAACCACAAAGCACCATCCCCCTGGGAGGGGGCCAGCATTGGGAGTCACACCCTGGGCCACCCACTCTGGGTCTGAGCTCCCCGCTCCGCCCCCTCCCACAAACTGCCAAGAAGTGTTTCCTCTAATTGGGCCCAGATCATTCTGGCTGAGGGGTGTTTCAAGGTAAGACTATTTCCTCCCATGCAGCTGTGGCTCTGTGCCTCCCCTACACACACACACACGCACGCATGCACACACCCCACACAGATCTGTGCAGATGCCTCCAAAGGAATGTTCAAGAAGCCAGGACCACCAGGCGCCTCAGGGAGGGAGCTGGGGCAGGAAGGAGGGGCGCCACGGGAGCTGGTTTTATTTGTGCCATTTTGTACCCCTGGGGTTTCTTCCCCTCTGGCTCCCCACCCCGCCTTCCTTCAACATCCATCCATTGTCTATTCAAAAACATGATTCTATACATTTACGCATCAATTCGTTTCCAAGACATGAAGTGTGTGCCCCGAGCTCCCCTCCGTTCCCCGAACCAGGGCCCTCCTTTCTGGCCTCCGCAACCTCCGCCCGCGGTCAGGCCACTCACTCCCCTAGACGCCCAGGCTGGGCACCCAGGAGGCTGCTTCCACCTGGAGCTCTCCCTGGAGCTGGGCCTCGAAGAGGAGCAAAAGTCCGCGCTTCCCCCAGAGCTGTGAGCAGATGCACCCCGAAACCGAGTACACCGGGGTGGGGCACCCCGGCTCCGCCACGACCCACCCCAAGCTGCAGGGGAGCCGCTGGCCTGCCGGCGGGGGCGGGCGCCACCTGCTGGGCATAGGTGAGAAGCGCGTCCGGTGCCGGCGTGGGCGTCGGTTCCTGGGAGGAAGGCAGCGCTCGGGCCACGCAGCCCCGGGGCGGGTGGGTCCTGGGCTTCTGCGGGGGCCGCAGCACCCTCCTCCCCACAAGTTTCTCTCAACAGCGGCCTCACGGTGCTGTTCACAGACGTGACATCTTTATATGTCAGAGGTGTGTCAGACACTAAATCTCTATTATCTCCCCAAACGCCGACCAAGTGCCAGCCCCTGGGCCGGGCGCTGGTGACATGGTGGCCAAGAAGGCGGCCGTGGCCGGCACGGGCCCTGGAAGCGAGAGGCTGAGACCGAGCCACTTGTCACACAGGAGCCCTTAAACCACAAACATAATCGTGCTTAATGGAGAGAGAGTGTAACATTGCCCCAGACGCCCTCCCCTGGAGCTCTGCAGGGTAAGAAGGGTATGATTGCTGTTTACAGAGGTGGCGTGGCGCACACAGCAGGGGAAGGTGGAGCTGAGACAGGACGCTCCTGTGGCTGGGGGGCAGGAGGGCTCAGCGTCCCCAGGAGACCCCCTTCTGGGCTGCAGAAACAGCCTCTGACTCCCTCTCTTAGTAAGGCCCCAGGGAACAGCTGTTTCTCCAGAGGCTCGTTTCGGTGGGTTTCTGCCATTGCCGGGAGTTAGACCCGCGCCTGCGAGAGCTTTTCTTTTCCCAGCTCATCAAGGGACGAGCCCGTTAACACCCAGTCCTCGAACGCCGGCCACCACGGACCACCTTTGCTCCTCCACCTCCAGCCCTGTCTCACTGAATGAGCCCACCATCCTCCACTAGGGAAAAGGGTCCCTGAAGGAAGATGTGGCAGTCCTGGGGCCGCCTGGGAATTGCCCTCTCCTCCCCAGCCTCAGTTTCTCCTCCTGTCTAGTAAGAGGTCAGACGGGACGCTCTAAAAACCTAGGCTGATCTGAAGTGTGATGATGCCCTTTGGTACCACTTGGATTTCTTCACACATCTCCCTTCACCAGAGAGTGCAGCGACGCACAGACCCCTTAGACCTACTGCGTCCTCAGCTTCCCCGAGGTGACCCATCTTTGGGAGATCAAAGCCAAATGGTTTGGAGACTTGGAGCAAACCAGACTCCAGGGCCACATGCAGCTCACGGTTACGGCAGCCAGGACAGTGATGCGATGCAGCGGCTGCTGGGAGGGCTCTGAAGGCCTGGCCCTGGGGCAGGTCCCCTCCCTCTCTCAGACTGGCTCCTCACTGTATCTGCAGACGCTTCTAGAGCTGGGTCTGAAGCCCGTTAGTGGGTAAGTCGCTAACGTCTCTAGACGTGGTGGAGGGGAAGTGGGTTGGAATCCAGTTCCCAATTCCAGCACTGCCGTTTTATCACCAGGAGACGGGCGGCTTGCCTAGCTTGTCCATTGGTGTCCCTTCTCATCACTGGTTAAACGAGGGTGATGGCAGGACCTGCTTCCTTGATGAGATGATCCTGTACACAGAGGGCAGAGCCTGGGTACTGCTAGCACCCATGAAGAGTCAACCCCAGTGGGCGGTGTTGGCCAGCCTCCCCGAGTGGGCCTCCCTGAAGATGGAATGAAGACTGGATTGACTGCACACACCGATCACCTTGCACGGCATTTGGACTTTTACATCTATTATCTCATGTGACCTACAGAACCCCTCCTTCCATCCCCATTTTTCAGTTGGGGAAATTTAGATCCAGAGAGGGGGAATGATATTTCCAACATCACACTGTGCTGGGGAGGAGTCAGATTCAAACTGGGAAGCTCTGGAATCAAACCCTGATCTAGGGGAATGTTCGCTTCAACTCATCAGGAGAGCAGCGTGGACCCCAGGGCAGGGTCCTGGTGGAGAATCAGCCCGCTTACCCACATCCCAGGCGGCAGCTCCCCACTGTGGCCACATGAGGGCAGCCGCATCCCGGCCGTCGCCAGGACGTGCTCGTTGGCTGACTTACCATCCGCCGGGTGACCGGTGGCAAGGCAGCCCCAGGTGGCAAGGCAGCCCCAGGTGGTGGCAGGGCCAGGCACAGAGGAAGAGGGCTATGGTTTTGTTCAGTTTACATAGAATTTTTAAAAAATTATAATTGGCTGCCAGCATTTAGAAATCAGGAGATTTCATACCCATATTCAGATTTCTAGGCTTTCTTGGAAAAGCAGAAAATCTGATAGTGGGTGCCCACTCTCTCTGCCTGGAAGTCACAAGCTGCACTGGACAGCTTCATCTCCATCAGCACCACTATCTCCCAACCCCCAACACACACACACACACACACACACACACACACACACACACACACATCTATGTGACCCTTGGCTTCGTGAGGCATTAGCATCCAAGACCACTGCAGACTTCCCAGCAGGGTGAGGCCGCGTTTCTCAACCTCTGCTGACAGTCTGGGTCAGCTCATTCCTTGCCGTCTGGGAGCTGTCCTGCACATTGAAGGACGGCCAGCAGCACCTCCACATGGATAAACAGCAGAGTGGTGGGACGTCAGGGACTGCCTCATCGTCTGGTCCCCAAATGCTCCCAAGAGGAACTGTGAGCCCATAAGCGAGGGGTGTTCAAGTCAATCGAAAGTTTCACAAAGTCTTGCAGGCCTGGGGTACGTGTCCCGGGTGCAACAGCCCAGCTCCTGATAACATCAGGCCCTTCTGCCAGGCATTTAGACAGCCCCGAGCTTTCCTACAATGCGGTCTACTGGGTGGGGGCAGAAAAAGAAAAGGGACCTTTGGCCCCACTGACAGGCTCAAAGCCTTCATTCTCTGAAAGAAGCGGAGGCCTGCTGGGTATCGCTGACTCCGTGACGACAGAGGGAATTCCTGAAGGTCACACATCTGAGGCCACACGGAGCAGAGCCCAGGAGGCCACACTCCTTCACCACCCTCCCCGCTTCCAAAGTCCCACCATTTTTCAGAGAAAGCTGGGCTGCGTGCTGGAGCCCAACCCCCACAGCCACCTTCAGGATGTGCCCCATCCAGTCACCATCTCAGCCCACTCAAAGCCAGGTCAGTGCCCTCTGGACTCCCTCGGTGGGCGGTGCCACTGCGCCCAGAGTCCCTCAAGCCTGAAACTCAGCTTTTCTGAGTCCCCGGAACCCCACATCCCAACCCAGCCCACCACCAAGCCCTGTCAATCCTCCCCAGGCCCAGCTTTTAAGATGACACAAATTGGCTGAGCGGCTGTCAGTGGTGCCCCTTTGAAACGGGCATGTGCTCTCTAGCGGGCCGCAGGCCGCACTGTCCCCTGCCCCCTCTAACTTTGGGGCCGTGTCAGTTTCAGTCCAGTGTTGGGTTGCCCTGATGTGCTCTTTATAGTGCAGGAATGAAAAGGGGCAGAGAAGGCTGTCTGTTGGAAGAAAATAAGTCAGAGACTACTTTCTTCACGGGAGAGAAGGCAATTTCTAAGGGATGGTATGCGACCAAAATGTGTTTGTGCAATATTTCTTACTCCTAACCTGTCTGACCACTATAGGCTTTGGCGTTTGCAACCCTTGAGATAGAGCCGTCCCGGGAGAGCGTGCCAGTGGGGCGAGGGGGCCCGAAGGGGAGGAGGAGAGGAGCCATTTTAGCTAATAGGGGTCTCCTCCCTCTCCAGTCCCAATGGGGGGGCGGTGCATAGTCACTGCCCACTCCCTGATTCATGGTCATTGCTACGTCCATGCACCCCTTTCCTGTTCTCCCCACAGAGTTCCTACTGACTGAGCCTCCACTTCAACCAGGTGGGCAGTGGTTTCTGGTGATCTGAAAACCACTGAGGCCAGCTGTGGGCACAGGGGGAGCCCCAGGGTGAGCAAGGGCCTCCTAGGTCCCACTTACATTTTGGTGCGCATCCCACCAAAACTTAGAGCTGCCTGCACCTGTATGAAGCTGGCACTGCACAAGGGTGATGGTGTTCTTCTCTGATCTGAGCCCTTATGAGGAAAGAACGCATCTGGGCCCTCGAGGCAACAACTGTCTTGGTTCCCCACTGTCCCCCCTTGTACAGAGAACAGTGTGAGATCACACTTTCTCTGGTGGAGAACCTTCCAGAATCACGAATTGCTGCATCCCCCTTTAATACCACCTCTCGATCTAAACTAGTCCTTTGATTCCATGCTCCTGTGGTGGGAGCATCGCTAATATTTAAAGCTCATTTTTAAATCTAATTTTGTCCCTCCCCCTACCCACTAGATCAAGCCCCCAAAAGGGAATCCCTCTGCATTCTTTCCCTTTTTGTTGTTTTTCCTGAGAGAAATGAGGACGGTCCTGGATTTATATTTATTATTTTTCAATGTTTAAAACTGTGACTGTGTCATACATACAAGAGTGTACATGTCTGTCAAAGAATTAAAATAAAACGCTCACCCATGCAGCCACCGCCCAGATGGAGAAACAGGGCTCTGTCTGCTGTGCCCTAGAGGTGACGACTGTCCTGAATTTCATGCCAGGTGCACCCTCGCTCCTCTTTTAAGATGTTCTACTTACGATGAGCTTGCCCGTTTTTAACTTCCTATCAACAGGACCAGTGCTGGATCTGAGACCTGCTGCTTTCACTGTCTCTGATACCCACGTGGTTGTGCATGGCTGAAACTGATGAGGTGGCATCGCTGTATTCTATTTTGCGGTATTCCATGCTCTGTATTCTTCCCACTGCTGATGCACATTTGGGGGTAGGTTTCAGGTTTGGGGAGCACACATGCAAGAGGTTGTCTGCAGTCCGCACCTGGGAGCAGAGTTGCTGGATCACAGAGTAGTTGCACCTCCAGTTATGCTTTCTCAGCACATTGAAGCCTTGTGCTTATTTTTCTCATGTTACTAAAACCCTGGTTAGAACCTAACCACCACGTCAAAAAGCATTGGCATCATGGATTTGTTCTCATCTTAAAAAGAATACTTTCTATACTTCATTACATATGGTACTATATATCTCTCTATGTATATTATGTCACTTACCTAAATATCTATAGATATAGTTCCCTGTATCAAGTTAAGGACGTTCCTTTCAATTGCTGGTTTGTATCAAATGTCTATAATGAACTAATATTGAATTTCATTGAAATTTTTTCATTTAATCAAAGGATCATATGTTTTTTCCTTAAAACTGTTAATGTGGTGAATTTATTAATTTAATAATAATAGGTCAACCTTACATAAACACAATTTAATCACGTTGTACTATACTTTTCAATTATTATTGCTGAAGTCACTGTGCTAATATTTTTAAAGAATTTTTGGATCTATGTTCATGAGTAAAATTAACGTGGAATTTTTCTTTAGTGTACTGTCTTCCTCTGATTATCAAGCTTACACTAACCTGATGAGGCAAATTGAAGTGTGTGGACTGCATGTCTCCATTCTGAAGGTGATTGGAAATGATCTGTGCTTTGAATGTTTAGCAGAATTCATCTGTAAAACCATCTGAGATTGTTGTTTTCTTTATAGGAAGATTTTAACCTGCTCATTTAATTTATTTAATAATTATAGGACCATTCAGGTTTTCTATGACTTCTAGAGTCAATTTTTATTAAATTCTATTTTTCTAGGAATTTTATTACTTTGTTTAATACACATTTATAGCATAAAGGTCATCTATAACACCCTTATATCATCCATTAATCTATGTTGCATTTATAATTATGTCCCTTTTCATTACTGATGTTGTTTATTTGTGCTTTTATCTTAATTAATCTTATAAGAGATTTGTCTAATATTTTTAGTCTTCTCAAAAAATCATCTTTTGTCTTAAGTCATCCTCCTATTTATGTTTGTTTTCTATTTCATTCATTTCTGTTCTCTTTTAATGCTGCCCTAGATTAATCTCTAACGTCCTGTAATATGTTTTCTATTCATTCTAACTTTTCCTGCCCCTGCCCCTTCCTTGACCTCCTTTCAATCATTTGAGATTTTTATATTATTTTTCTTATCCTATTTTTTCTTTCTAGTTGTTTAGAAGTCACACATCCAATGACTAGCTTCCTGTGTTGACCCAAGCTATTTTAACACTGAGCACTTACCTAACAAAGTCTAAACTTAATCAGTGTATTTGTCCTCCTCCCAAATAACAGAAGGAACTTGAAAACTCTAATTTTGACCAGCTCCTCCAAAATTATATGGTGTTGTCCAGTATATTTATATTAGCCTTTTTGTTCCCTACCGTAAATTAGACATTATTATTGTGGAGTCATTCCGTCTGTTTTTTTTTTTTGTTTGTTTCCCTCCAAATATTTGCCAATGTCTTTGCCCATTTTCCAAACCTATCTGGCCTTTTCTCTGGAATAATTTTCATGCTGCCTCAAGTACATTACATTTAGTTTTCTTGAGTGAGACTCTTTTGATGGTAAAATCTCACAGTTTTTATTTGTCTGAATATGTCATTTAACTCTCATTCCTGAAAAAAGTATACAGCTCTAAGTTGACAGTTATTTTTTTCTCAGCACATTGAAGATCGGATTCCACTGTTCTCTAGGTTTCACGGATGACAGTGAGAAATCAGCTGTAAAGCTAACTATCGATCCTTTGAAGATAATATTTTTTTTTACCGATGATTTCAACATCTTCTCTTTTACTTTGATGTTCCACAATTTTACTATTGTGTGTCTATATATGAATCTCTTTTTAATTATCTTGCTTGGGATTCACTGAACTTCCTGGCTCTGAGGTTTGGTGTCTACAACAATTCTGCAAGATTATTAGCCATTATCTCTTCATGTATTTCCTGTTCCCCATTCTATTATCTCCTTCCAGAACTCTGACAAGATATACATTAGTCTCTCCCTATGCTCTGGATAATCCCCTCGGCTCTACTAGATTGATAATCCTCTCCTTGGCTGTATCTAATCAGCTATTCAATTTATAAATTGAATTTCAAATTTCAAGTATTCTATTTCTCATTTCTGTAAGTTTTTTTTTTCCAAATCAGGCTTTTATTCCTGCTCGTATTTTCAAACTTCTCTTTCATTTAAAAACCCAAAAAATAGTTTTTTTTTAATTTATTTGTTATTTGCCTATGATCATTTCAAATCTAAAGGCTTTAAAGACTCTGTTTCTACAGTCTCTTGCCCCTGCTGGTTCTTTCTCCCTGTGGAGTTTATTATTTTTCACGATGAGCTGTTCCTTTTCTCTGGAACTTTATTTGTGGGCAGTCTATAAAGCTGACATGTTGTTGAATTTCTCAAGGGAGGTTTAGGACTTGTTTTTATCAGTTGACTGAGGGTAAAACCAAGCAGGTCCACTTTAAATTCCCTGCTTGAGTACGTTTAAACCACACAAGTAGTATGAAATCAAACTGAAAATCATGGGAGGGCCACCTTGTGATTACACATTCTCAAAGGAGATCTTTTTCCTCTCAGCCCAATGTCAAGGTCAGAACAAGCAGGGAGAGATTTCAGTTCTCTTCTGCAGGGTGAGATTGACTTTTCCTTCTTTCTTACACTCCAGATATTGCCGTATGGGACTCTGGCTTTGAAGGGGTCTCCTAGCAGATGCCCCCCACTCTAGATGCTGCCCAACATGCCTCTCCTGCTGCTTGCATCCCATGCAGCCACAGAAGAAGAAGGTTAAAGGTTCCCGGCCTCACTTCATCTTGGAGATCCATCATTTCCTTACTTTCATGCCAACTCAGCAATGTGTAAAAAGAAAGTCCTTAAAAAATATTTTATTCAGCATGTTAATTATAATCAGGGGAGTTATTAAAGGTTTCTAATCTGACAGAGCGCTGGAAACAAAAGTTCTTTCTGAGAACTTTCCAGAATTTTCTCTGGCCTTCAGCCTGTGCTTCTCTTTTAACATGCACTGCAGCATATTGTAATTATCCATGGGTCTGTTTTCTGCTCAAGACCACAGGCTCTTCAAGCGCCAGGAGGAAGGAAAGCTCGGTGTCCTCCAACCTGACGTGGACGCAAAACAATGAAGGTGCCTGAGAAGCCTGTGGAGAAAGGTGAACAAATGGATGAATGAATCCTCGTGATAACTTCTAACCTACTTCATCAGCACATGCTGTGAATTTCAAGAACAACCAGTGTCCTGGGAGTGTATCGTGGGCTCTCCTAGCATGCCGGGAGAAGGGATGGCATTTATGCAGGATATGAGCACGTCACTCACTACTAAACCCATACCTTGGTCCGAAGGACCATATTTCAGGCAGGATATAGTCAAGAAAGCTTCAGAACTGACCAGTAAAAAAAAAATGTTAATGCCACAAAATGAAAATACTTCATGCCAGTTAGAATCTCACCAATCAAATTAGGGGCCCGTGGATTTTAGCAGCCCTAACCAGAGGGCCTGACCAACGGGTATCAAAAGCCTGGCAGATAATAAGCTGGATTGTCTGATGGAGCTCAACCCTCATCTTCCTTAAAATGGAACTGATCCTGGTCCCTAAATATACATGCGTCTTTCAAAACCTTGCTCCTTTCCCCACCTACCTTCACACTTCTGGCTCAAGGGGAGAAAATAACCTACAAGCAATTCATCTTCTTCAAGGGCTGCTGGCAAGCATATATAGTTTTTCACAGCTGAGTTATTTCTGATCTTGGTCCTACAGAGAGCACAGAGGCTGGGAGACATGTGGAAGCTGCGCCAAGCCAAACAGTGTCTCAAAGTCGGCACTGGATCCACGAGCCTCATGAAAGTTTTACAAAAACTTTCTAGTTTTACAAAAAACACCTTAAAACACTCGTGATATAAAACCAGTGAAAATGAGAGTCAGAGAGGGGATGGTCCTGAGTGTGAGAGTGAGTTGGCCTCTCAGTCCCCAAACATGTGGCCTCGGGGCTTGTGAAGAACCACAAAACACTGGAGTTAAACAGGCCCAGGCTCCCCTGGTGACAGCCAAACCCAGAGGTGCGAGGAAAGGTTGGCCTCTCTTCTCAGCTGTGTGACCCTCGGCACGTCACCTACGTTGAGTCTCCATTTTCTGAACATAAAACAGAAGTGATGGTGATGCTAATAAGCCTACCTTATAAGGTTGTCGTAACAATCACACAACATCACATGTGTAGCTATATACGATCACAGTGTCTAGCAAGTTCCCAGAGCAGCTTAATGTTCATGGTATGACAGTTTCTTCTTTGCTGCATGACATTTTTATTATTGTATTGACATTTCTGAGATGACAATGATGAAGGAGAAGAAATCGAACCTGAGAGACACAGACATGAATAAAGTCACTTTAAAAATCGGTGTCAGAAGCTGGATGACAGCCCAGCTCTCCAGACTTCGGTCCTGTGTTCTCTCACCATTGCTCATGTCTAATAGTCACCATGTGTCTAGTGTTACTGTGAACTAAATCTCTAAAGTGGTTTTGTATTCACTCAGTGCTTCCATACATGTCTTCTTACTTCTGTCTTATATTAGGGAAAACTTGAAAAAAATAGAAGAAAAGCTACCAGTGGCACTCTCAAAGAAAGCAGATATTGTGCCTATGAAACAAGAACAGGACACTACTAAAAATGAGCGCTGAGAGAATGTAAAAAGAGCTCTTGGAAATTAAAAAATAGCAGAGATCTAAATAGTTAGTAGAGGAGTTGGATTACAACTTTGAAGAAATACTCCAGAAAGGAGAGCAAAAGGACAGAGATGGAAGACAGGAGATGTGTCGGTTAATTTCATGTGATCCTTGGCTGGATGACAGGATGCCAGTATTTGGCTGAACATTAATTCTGTGGCTGTGAGGTCTTTTACAGATGAGATCAGCATTGAACTGGCAGGCTGAGTAAAGCAGAATGCCCTTCCTAATGTGAGTGGGCCTCATCCAATCTGTTGAGGGCCTAAAGAACAGAAGGATGGAGGAAGGGAAGCTTTGCTCGCTCTGTCTGACTGCTTGAGACATCGGCCTTCTGCTCTCAGACTGGACCTTACACCATCAGCCTCTGGAACTGCATCACTGGCTTTACTGGGTCTCCAGCTTGCAGACAGCTGATCATGGGACTTCTCAGCCTCTATAATTTCATGAGAGAGAATAGATAGAGATAGATAATAGAACCAGTAAGATAGGTATAGATACAGATAAAGACGTAGATCCTACCAGTTCTCTTTCTCTGGAGAACTCTGACTAATACAGGAGGAAAAAAACGAAGCAGTCCAGGAGACATGACATCCAATTAATAGGAGTTCCAGGGAGGCAGACCAGAGAAAATGGAGGGAAGAATTTGTTAATAATTTAGGGAATATTCCAAAACAAATGAACCTAAATATATAGATTACACAGACAAGCAAGGACCCTTCTGAGCCAAGCATTAACAGGTCCATACCAGGGCACAGCACCATGCAACTTGAGATGCTGAGACAAAGAGAACATCCCATAAGCTTCCAGGGAGAGGAAAAGGGTCACGCAGGAGGGTCAGGAACAGCTTTGAGCTTGCGGGCAGCACAGGCAGCTGGCAGGCACAGGAGCAATGCATGGGAAATGCTGAGGGAAAAGTATTTCCAAGCTAGAGTTCTTTATCCAGACAGGCTATCAATCCAAAATGAGGATGGAATGAAGATATTTTTAGACATGTGAGGTCTTGAGGCTTTTACAGCCAATCCTCATTATACACAGATTCTTTATTTGCATGTTCACCTACTCGCTAAAATGTATTTATAATTAACCTCAAAATCAATACAGTGCCTTCAGGGTCACTCACAGACATGCACAGAGTGACAAAAACAAATGTGAGTGACCTCAGCTGACTCTCTGCCTCTTCTCCAATACTGTACACAGGTGTTCTTTTTGTGGTTCTGTTTTTGTGCTTTTTTTTTTTTCTGGTGATTTCACTGTTTAAAATGGTCCCAAGCATAGTCTGAAGGGTTGTCTTGTGTTCCCAAGGGTCCCCAAGTGAAAGACTGGGACGTGCCTTATGGAGAAAAGGCGTGTGTCAGATCAGCTTCGTCCAGACATGAGTTATGGGGCTGCTGGTTAATGAATTGGCGGCACACATTAAATAGGGTGTCTCTAAACAGAAAATACACACAAAAAAAGATTAGGTATTGATCGGTTGTTGAAAATGTGGTGACCGCAGACTCATAACAGCCTAACCTTGTAATTCCTCCCAGGAGCGGTGGCCCAGTATTGGCGAATTCAGCATTTATAGAGATCGTACAGAACATAACTACTTCGAATAATGGGAATGGGCCATGCTTTCCTTATGCTCTTTCTCAGGAGGTTACCAGAGCAGATGCTTTACCAGAATGAGGGGGAAAACCAAGAAAGAAGAAGATAAGGGATACAGGAAATGAGAAAGGCAAAGGAACCCCCAGGCTGTGAGGGGGGCGACCCCAGACAGAAGACAAGCCCCAGGCCTGGAGAGTCCCAGCTCCCCAGGTGTGGGCTCCTCCAGGCGTGGAGAAGACCAGGGGCATCTGAAAGCCCTGTGAGAAAGTGCAGGACTGAGTTAGAGGCCATTTCTCTGCACAGAAAACTGGGCAAAGGAGAAACAGGACAATAATTAGCTGGCGCAGGGGAAACCACTGCAGGTTAGATGCATCATAGATAAGGTAAGAGCACTTTCTCTATCAGCCCCTGTGCAAAACAGCATTTTATGCGAATTAATTCATTTAAAGCTACAGCCCTGCAAGGCTGTGTGGACAGCTTTAATCAAAAGGTTGAGAACGTGTCCAGGACCACACAGCTAATAAACGATAGGAGGATTGGAACCTAGGCAGGCAGCCCCAGTCTCCATGCCAAAACAGAGGTGACCAACATTCTAAGTCTGTATGGAGAGGTCTGAGGCCATGGGACGATGTATGTGGGTGGGATGTGGGGGGTGGGGGAGAATGTGGCAGGAAACAGCAAAATCCTCACCTTCCAGAACAAAGAGCAACCGACAAGGCTGACAGCTACAAAACTAAGATGCAGGCCCAGAGGCTCAGAGGTCAAAACCAAAGTAATTAGTGCAAGGAGCTGAAATGGTCACCTCTGGGGAGGGCACCGGGGGAAGAGCGGGGCAGGGTAGGGGGCAGGAAAGTGCTGTGTTTCTTAACAAACCTTGTAGAACTATTTGCCTGTATACGTTTGTTCAAAATAAAAGCTAAAAATAAAGAGAAGAAATAAACAACGTCCCCCTGGAGCTAAACAGAATCTGCAAGCCTTGGCTGCCAGGGTGAGGCCTGGGCCCAGGGAGTCGTCCCTTTATTTCATGTTTCCCCTGTGACCCCGCCCTTGACCTGGTAGAAGCCCCTCTGGCCTTACAGCATCACTGGGGCTATCCCCCCACCCTCCATGCAAATTAGGGCTCTGGACTGGGTGAAGACCCTGGCAGGGAATTGCCCTCGTGACCCCATCTGCACCAACTTTCTAGCTCATTCAGGAGCTCCTGGTATTGCCGTATTGACGTCAACGGCAAATGAGGGATCCTCCCAGGGATGCATCAGCCTGGCCCCTCAGCTCACAGCCATGGTCCCTAAGAGAAACAGGGCTGCCAAGGGCTGTCCCTGCACACCCTCATGATGCAGGCACAGGCTGCCACCTGGGGCCCTCAAGAGGTGCACACGGCACCTGAGGCCACAGAGACAAAGTAGAAGGTAATGGCGGAGGGGGTGGGGTGCTCTTGGGCATGTGGGGGCCCTCGTATCACCTCACGCCCCCACCCCAGCCCAGATGGGACTCCCTGCCCAGGTGGCAGCTTTTCCTGATGATGCCCCAGATAATGGCTCCCTGGTCCTCTGAGGCTGAGTATCAGATGCTTGCCACATGCCCATCCCCCTCTCTTCCTTCAGAGCTCGGACAACTGTGTGTCATCTCTTCTGTCCCTTCACCCCTCAGCCCAAGCAGCTACTCGGCTAGTGGAACTGCTGGGTTTTGACTATTTCATAGGGTGTTTGTGGGGCCAAATGAATCATCTGGGTTGGGGTATTTTGGGAAACGGGAGAGTGAGAAATCCAAAGAATATTTTGAGAAACACAAGCTATCAGCCCTCTAGGATGTGAACATGATGACTAAGCCTGGATAAAACAGCAGATCGGGCATGGATGGAACAGAATGGAGAGCAGAGAAGCATTCTCATGCAAAAGAATTCAATATACAATAAGGCCATTTCCAGTAGACAAAGAACAATAGAGGAAGTAGACATAAAAACTCAGCGTAGATACACGCTTCCCATCTTCAACATACACTGAAAATAGAAATACTTCACAAAGCAGAGCAAATCTTAGCAAGACCAGCCACAAATACAAGTGAATACTGACCACAGAGCTGGAGGAGTAGGATGTTTCCAACCTTTAAAATCGAGGAGATTTCTTCAAAAAGGAAAGAAAAATGGATTTGACTATATCAAAATGAAAATCTGTTCCACAAAAAAAATGAGCAGGGAGAAAAATAGACCGAGCACCAAACACATGGCGAAGGGTTAACAGCTACGAAAAAAACTATGTTCATTTTTATGAAAAGCCTCACACCAACAGGGTTTTTATTTTCTTTCATTTTGGGGAAACCTGACAAAAGGATACCAAATTTCATCTGGAAAAATAAACATGTGAGACTCGTCAGAGAAATGTTAAGGGAGGAGAAACACAATGAAGGAGAACTGGCTTTACCAGATGTTAAAACGCATTATGGAAGTGCGATGACTTTTTTTTTAGAATTTAGTGCTGGAAAAGAGCTGAATGCTCAGTCCAGGCCAGAGTGTGGAAATCTGGGGAAACACGTGGGAATTCAGCATGTGAATTCAAAAAAGGACTCGTTTCATATAAGAGTGAAAAGATGTGTTAGTTAAAGCAGGACATTGGGATGCCTGGGTAGTCAGCCATCTAGAAAAAATAAAGTTGAATCCTTACCTCACCCCTTATATGCAAATAAATTCCATATGGATCTAAGATTTAAACAAAAAACATATTGAACCATAAAAATTCTGAAAGAAAACATAGGTGAAGTTATTTGTAATCTTGGAAAGGACCAATCTTTCTAAGCAGGACACCCAGAAGCCAGAATAAAATTCATTTGAGGAAATAAATGAGTGATAAATCCAAAGATTATTTTCAAAAAGATGAGGAATAAACCCTCTCTGGTATTGAATACATGACACATGGAGAGAGTCTTCCCTACATAAAATAACTCAAATCATGATACCAGTGTCTTCTTCAGCTAATGAGCAATGGGAGGAATGTTGAATGAATGGAGTTAGGAAATCTTTTTAGGAAAAACATAATTTTAAATCCATCTCCACATATACTGAAGAATAAATTATTTATAAAGCAAATCCAATTCTAAAAAGACTGGTTGAAAATATAAGTGAATATTGACCAGCCCTCTGGAGGGACAAGAAACTTCCAGGCTTTAAAATGATTGAGGAAATCAAAAAGGGAAAAGAGAACCCATTCAACTATTTTTTTAAAAAGAATCTTCTGTACCAAAACAATCAAATTTTTTAAATGACAGCATAAAATTTTTAAATTTCTGGGTGAGAAGTATAAACAAAGATAGGACAAAAGCTAAACAGGAATTAGTATTTCTAGGATTGATTGCTTCAATTTAGAAAACGCCTGTAGAAGCAAGAAAAAGAATTAAAACCTAAAGGAAAAATGTGCAAAAGCTATATATGAAAAAAAAATTCACAGAAAAATATTTTTAAATGAGCAGTAACTATACGAAAAATGTTTAACCTCATAATTAAGAGATGTAAGTAAAAATATTTAACAAAATACGATGTTCTTTTCTTTACTTAGCAAATTGGCTGACACTTTAAAGTTTGAAAATACCCAAGTTTATGGAGAAATAGTCATTCTCAAACACCATTAGTGGAAGCATAAATCTGTCTACTCCATTCCTTTCCATGGCTGCATTATACTCCATGTGTGTGTGCGGCAACGCTTAGTGAACCAGTGTTCACTTATAGAAATTTCGAGTTGCTGGTTCTTCCAGTTTTAGTATAAAAAGCAGTCCCATGGTGAGTACTTTTTACGTACCTCTCCACATACCCAGGTGAATATGTTTTCAGGAATAATTCTTGGCATTGGAATTGCTCAGTGAATGGAGAATGGACCTTCACATTAAAAGCTTTGACAGATACTGCCGAACGGCTTCCCTCTAAAGTTACAGCGATTTACACTCTGACCAACTGTGTATGAGAACATCTGCGTCCCTGTACCTTCTCTAGCACCAAGAATCGTAACCTCAATATGGTTTTGTTAAGTATATTTTAAAAAAGACAAAAAAGATAAGGAAATGGTCAGGAATGGGTGGGGAATTACAAATTATGGTACCGTTGTAAGAAATTTGTCTCAGTCCTGCCTTTGCCATTTCCCTGCTACTCAGTATGTCTCTTCCTTCCTCTGGGCCTCAGCTTCCCCATCTGCAAAATGAAAGGAATGAAAGGAAACAGCCAATGAATACACATGTTGTATGTGACTGACCCTACTCAGACATACCCACCGAATGGCAGAGTGACTCAGTCTTACCTGTGAGTGTCCGGTGGGGCGGGCTGGGTGAGGGCCAATCCCTGACCACTTTTCCCCCCAGCACACCAGAGACACAGTCCCACCAGGGGCTCCAGCACAGCACGGCCCAGAAGACAGGGCTGGGTCTCCTTCCCCAGCTGTGGCCGAGGAAGGTTGGGGAGGCAATTTCCACTCTGTTGGAGAGGTGGTTGCTCTTCTGCCAGGAGGCAGGCTGGACCCTGGGCTGCCTTTCCTGGCGTCTTAGGTGTGGGCATCGATCTGGTCACAGCCCTTGCTCACACATCATCGGTGGTTCCCCCTTTCCTGCATGAATAACCCTAAACCCTTGATTGATTCTGGCCTTGAGACTCCAGGTTCCAGCCCCACCTTCCTCTATTGTCTGGCCAGACACACAGTCTCCACTCCCACAAACTGAGCCTTGAACATACACCTTATCTGGGTGTTTTGTTCACCTACAAAGTTCTCCTGTCCATCTCTAACAACTTCCTCTGCACGACTGACTGTGCCCTCGCACATAATCTATAATGTGCAATCCGGTATAATCAAAGGGCATAGGGTCAACTGGGAAAGCAGGCCAACTTTCTGCAAAGCTTTCTGGTGTGGTGAGTCTTAAAGGAAAAATAAATTGTGTATATTCAAATAGGGCATAGTATAATTGCAGCCAAGTTTGGGTCTGTGAAAAAAAGAATGGAGGGAAATACAGTCCAGTCATCTCTCAAATGATGCAGGAGTTAAGGGATTCTGCATAATTCTTGACTCCCCAAAACCTTGGCTACTAATAGCCTACTATTTACCAGAAGCCTTACTGATAACATAAACAGCCAATGAATACACATGTTGTATGTTATATGTATTACATACTATATTCTTATAATAAACTAGGGAAAAGAAAACGTTTTTTCAAATTGCGGCAATCTCCAAAAATTTTTCTAAAATATTTATTGAAAAAAATCCACATATAAATGGACCTGCGCAGTTTGAACCCATATTGTTCCAGGGTTAACTGATAACAAAATGCTCTTATTTTCAAGTACCCTCATAACAATAAGATGGATGATGAGGGGCAGGATAGCTTACATTCACAATTTACACGTATGACCCACAGCATCAGAAACACGTGCTGTTTTTAATGCAGTAGAGTTAAACATGATAGAAGGAAAAATGTTTCCATGCAGGTAAAGGCAGGTTCTGGACACAGGCGGTTGAGATCAGACCCCCCCCCCCACCGTCTGGATGCCCCCTCCTTTCCTGCCCACTCCTCCCACCTCAGCCTTCCTAGAAACCGGGCCCAGCAGCTGCCTTTAGGTGCCTGTGGTCAGAGGCACCAAGCTAGACTCCCACATCCCAGGTCTCTCCTCCCCAGGCCTGTTGGAGCTTCCACAGCCACTTGGAAAAAATCAGACCAGCCCTGACCTTGCTGTGTGAACTTGGTTGGCCAAGTGACTCCCCTGTGCCTCAGTTTCCCCATCTGTAAGGCAGCTCTCCTAGCAGTACCCACCTCTTTTGTAGACAAG